TCTGATTAATTTGAACCACATCAAAAAAAAAAACTTCGATAGAATAAGTGAATTTAACATCAAATTTTCTGAGTTCATAGAGAATTATATACTACTGATTAACTGAGATGAGGGTTTGTATACTACTCATATCAACCATTTGTGATCGCTAGCCAGTCAAACCGAAGCGATCTAAACACTGGACAGCCGTTAAGCTGGATTAGGGCCAAGATCGTCAACGGTGTAACTGGTTCGACTTAGCTGAGACAGCCAAATAAGTTCCAACCACCCAATTTCTGGCTAGCTGGATGATTAAGCGAACTGGTCATACCATAAACAGAACTCATAATTTGCTAATTGGTTAACAACTTGCAAGTTACACAGTTAAAGTGGTGAAATTTCACCGTAGTTTCCTTTGGAAAGTGAGTAGCAAGCACTGAAATTTATTATTATTACTACTGTTTCCTATTACTATAGTTCCTAGAGGAACACAGTGCTTCAGCCGCACGTCTTCATTGCGTCCGGTTCTCTGCCAACGTCTTCACCTGACTCTACGTCTGCTTACGTGCTGTTTTCCCCTCTTCAAATGACCCTCTCCTCCATGTCTCCCTCACACTGACGACCAACTAAATCGCTGCTTCCCATTCGCGTTCCACTCGAGCGATAGCTTGGCGTGTGATGCCACTTGATGGTTTGTTTTATCAGAGTATAACCAATTCAGTCCACCTCCATTTGTTACTGTATATTTGTTGCAGAATCGGTCCCTGCTGTGTTGGTTCGCCCCCAGAGATCCATGTTGTTGATCTTTTCTGACCTGCCATGTGAACTTAAGTAGTATTGAGCGAAGACAGCTGTTGATGAAAGTCTGTAGCTTTTTCAAAGTGCCCTTCGTCACTCGCTGTCCTAGTCTCTGATCCGTGTAGTGAGTAGCACTGACTTCACATTGAAGTTCAAAATCCGGATCTTATTTTTCATGCTGAGTGCTTTTGATCTCCCCACAGACGTGAGAGAAATGAAAGCTTGACTTGCTTTCCTGATCCTCGCTTTAATATCCTCATCAGCTCCGTCCGCCTGTAGCTGAAACGATGCCTCCCAGGTAGTTAGGTGAAAAAGGTTACTACTTTCATATTCCTCCCATTTATGCTGGCTGACTGTTGTCTGCTGTTGTTGCTGTTGGCAAGGAATCTTCATCACCTCTGTTTTCTCTATGTTCACATGAATTCCTATCTTAGACGCTTCTTCTGCCAACTTCTTACCTTTCAATTGCATATCATTCACTTTGTTGAAAATCGGACATATATCATCGGTGAAGTCTAGATCCTTGAATTTTTTTTGCGTGAGTCCATTTTATGCTTGTTTCCTCGCTGCCCGCAGGTATCTGTAGGATTATCCAGTCTACTGTCAAGTTATATGCAAATTTGCTGACTTTCTTGATTACGATTTACGGTATCAAGAAGACCTCATATATTGTAAAAACAAAACACTTTTTTTCAGCGAAGAATTTCTTTTCGATGGCGAATTCATTCACTGAACTGTACAATCACAAATATACATATACTTATTTTTGTATGTGTGTGTGTACATTAGGTTAGTCTGTTAAAACTATAAATAAGTTGGAGTTATTGTCGTCAAGATATATCAGTTATGTGGTGAATAATCAGATTGTAACTAGGATAGAGGATGAAGTCTTGTAAGAGGGCACTGGTGTTGCGTTGTCAAAAAACATAGATATTTACACGTCAAAGAAGTTGAATAACCATAACACAATTACGTAACAAGGTGGATAGTTTAGTGAGTGAGTTGTGATTACTATGCACATGACAAGACAAATGAAAATACGGAATTATGCAAGAGTTCTAAAAATTACAAATATTATAGCCAATCAGAAAAGAATAAAAAAATACAAGGACACAAATATCAAGTCGGTAGAAGTCAACACAGTAGGAGTGGTTCAATAATTTTCTTTTGTATACATAACTCTGGTTTCTTCAAGTGAATGGCTAGGGCTTCAGTAATACAAAGGAGACATAAGTGTATTGCCTTTGGTAGGTTGTTATTCACGTTGTAGATCAATTCGAAGGAGGCGTTTGTTGGGATGGAATGATCAGGTGCTGACAAGGTGTTCGATTATCGCACTCCTTATAGAGCCACTATTACCTCTTTTAGGCATACCAGATAGTGTTCTTCAAGCCTTTTGGACAGGATAAGCTTCTAATGACTAATGTGCCGGGCTCCACTGAGACAGATGAAATGATATATGCACACGGAAGTGGCCAGATGCGGGATCTTGTTCTTAAGGCCTCTGAAGATCAATGGACGACTTGAGAACACTACTCTTAACGTTGCTGCGAAAAATGTTCTCTTCAAAGTTCCCCTTTAAAATCTAGATTCATGTAAAGTTACATTTTGATTACTCGTTACATTTTCGAAATGTCTTCATAACAATAACTCTAACTTATTTTCACTCTTGTCAGAGAAACCTAATGTACACACACCCACAAAAATAAGTATATGTATATTTGTGATTGTACAGTTCAGTGAATGAATTCGCCACCGTAAAGAGACTCTTCGCTGAACTACATGCTTTGTTTCCAGTAATGTCTGGACATATATTGTAATTAGAATGACCTGGTTTCCAAAGGAATCCAATCGAAGTGCAAATTAGGCATTTCGTTCATAGAGATTTTTTTGGTTTCATTTTTGCGTAGACTGCGTCACTTACCAAACCCAAGAAGTGGAAATATCAATTTCTTGCTTATTAATGGCTACTGGATGAGAAATAGTGACAAGTAGGATGTACTATATGTCACCAGTATGATTTCTAGCAGGTTATTGGTGTGTGCTAATGAAGGGCCTTAAACTGGGACAAAACAGTTGTCTGATACTGCACAGTTTAGTGATTCGCTAAATGATATTAATTGCTGACGTGCTCTACAATGGAATTTAACATTATTAGAAGACAGACTCTTCATACTTTATAAATAATAATCTTGAGCAATGTAGAGATGAACTGATCAGTTCATATAACTGTACAACACTGTGTGATTTATCAAAATAAAATCTTATCTATAATGGAATTATACTCTACCACAGTGCCCAAGGATTTCAGTTCTATACGCCTCCTTGGCACGGCACTGGATAAAGTTTAAGAATGTTGTTTTATAATCAAAACGTCAGGATAAAGTCAGTGCTGGCTGATTCAAAGCAGCTTACTTAAGGGGGAATTGCTATCCTCCACGTCATCAAAACCAGGAAACTCTTATAAGTCAATCCTCGAACCAGACTGAATTACTGAAAGAAAACTTTTAAGATTTCTGGTAATACACGCACTGGTCCGTGTCTACGCTGGTTTTGACAGTATATACAGAATTTGCTGACTAAGCCAATTACAAACTTTCATAAAGCTGTTGTATTTATTTCTTAGGTACTGTGACCATTTTTAAGAAGCACTTTCATAAACCTGGTTTTTATTCAATTTTCATTCTTTACGTAGTTGATTAACGAATAAAAAAAGATAAAAATGTTAGAAAAACCTAGTGAAAAACAAAAATATAGAATGGTTTTCTTATTTTCTTGGCCTATTATTCATATCCTTTACATTGTACTCTGCGCTTGAAAGATTCTTCGGTTTAGAATTTCTTCACCCTTGCTAACATTCATGTTTTTTTCATTGCAGATTAGCAAGAAAAGCCAGAAAATTGGAAGCAGTGGGATCCCAACTGGACTGTATTATACTGATTCCTGGCGTAACGACAGGGAGTGAAGTGGTAGAACGTGTTGACCACTTCACTTGTTTAGGAAGTTGCATCAACCCCAACAGGCTGTTCGTTGACGAGATCTCATCAAGGATAAAAATGCCTCGTTTGGCATACGCCAACTTATGCTATCTATCGTGTAGACGTGATATCCGGTTGGCTATCGATCAGAGGAAGTGGATGCTGCGCACCAGTCTACTGAGTCCTGTTTTATGGCTCTAGGACGTGGCGATTGAAAGAGGAAGACATGAAAAGGCTAGCTGTCCTTCAATCGATGGAATTGTGAAGCTACGTCGTTTGAGATGGCTAGGATATGTGTTACGTATGCCTAGCCATCGCCTTCCTCAATGGTCATTGTTAGCTGACATAGGAAGCATTAGGTGGGAAAAGAGTTAGTGACGGTCGAAACAAAACATGAAGTCAGTTAACGTAATCATTAACAGTTAGTTTGTCTCACGCATTGGAGCGTAGGCACCTTGGTTACAGTCCCCTGGGTTCTCATAGTCAGCTTTTAGGATCGAAGGTTGCTGGTATCCCCCCCCAAACTTTTAAGGGGTGTATGAAGAACACCCTGTAGTGCGTCTTCTAGTGTTTTAAATTTTTATTTTAACATGTACACCTATGGACTCGCCCAAACGCCATCTTTGCGCTATTCCATCCTGCTGCTAACACATCTACTCTAGGATTTTTAATCCAACCATACTAGTTAAGTAAGTCTAAAGTCCTTTTCCTTGAATAATATTAAGTTTTTAACTTATTCAAATATAAAGTCTCATTAGAGTACACGAATAATTAACTAAGTCTTCTTGATTTGTGCTTTGTTTTTAGTACTTACAGCTCAGGTTGCGTACTGATTTATTGGGGAATCGGGCTTATTATGTTTAGTAACGGCGGGCGTAGTGTAGCCAGCCAACAGTACAACCAGTACCTTAGAACTAGATGAAAGACTTAGGTGAAAATGTTCGAGAAAAACAGTTACATTCAGAGTCTGAACTAACAGCCTTGAAGAACCAGTAACTATCTCATACCAAAGTAATAAATCTTGAATTCACTACTTTGTCTTGTTTCACAAGTACAGTTGAAATTGTGAAGCAGAACGTGCAAAAGTTGATGCGAATAAGATTATTATTGTTCCCTTGGGTTCTCAGTTGAACTGTTTTCACCTGTTTTCACTGTAAGCCTTCGAGTTTGTGTAACACTACAATTAAATCATTGTCACACACACACACATACAAATAAAATAAGTAAAGTTTTGTGAAAAATTACCTTTTTCGGATCTATAATATTTTCTTCATTATCGCATTCATTACATGTAATTAATAAATACTTTGTCAACGGTTTATATGGTCTATTATTTGTCAATTGTTGTTTTAACCATTGTATCATACGATTTGTCATGTTCAATGTTAAATCTGATGTCGCATGACCTTCAGGTATATTTGTGTAAGCAATTTCCGGTTTAATTAATTTAAACATTTTTTGATAATCATGAGTTGATATATAATATGACCTTTCAGGATCAGTTAAACTTGATGTTAATAACATATCACCTAAAGTTGAATGTTCTGAATAACTTTCACCAACATTATAGCCATTTTCATTATTGGTGATTTGTTCCATTGATGGTGATGACGACGTAATTGATTCGTCTTTATTGTTAATCCATAAAACTTTTGATAAATATGGTGTAGGATATATTTCCCAACATGTAAACTTTGCATTTGAACGAATTTCACCATTAATCTATGTGAAAGAAAGAGAAAAAAGGGTAAAATGTCAATGAAATAAATAACAGGGTCCTGGATTTCAAATTTCTGGAGTCAAGAGAGAGTGAGAGATTCCAATGGTTGAATTCTTCACCATGAGACGAATTATTCAGTGAAACACTTAAACAAAAAGCACGAAGTTAGCAGCATTTTAGTTTCATTCTGCAGCTGCGTTCATGTGAGTCTATTCCTTGATTCACTGGGTGTTATAGATCATTGGTTTTCGAAGCAACAATCGCTGGGTCTTCATCCTGATGGGAACATTATCACTTCCTGGAGATGAGGTAAATCTATTCCAGATAAGGTGAAACAAGCCTCTTGTATTCTGCTGCTAGCCGTTATATAAAAGGCAACTCCAATTAGTCCATTTGTAGGTAATATTTTATTGCGTATATTCTAAAACAGTGTTCAAAGGCGGGTTCTTCTGAAGATTATTTCAGTAATTGTTTAAATTAAAAAAAACCTTATGGTGTAATTAGAACAAGATAATTTGGAGTGAACACTCTTTTTCAATAAATTCTCCATCAAGCTCTACAGTCATTAATCCATGAATATTAGAATGCATATAGTTAGGCGGAAAGTTAAAAAGAAATATTTACAGAAAAGCAAGGTGGAACGGTCAATATATACATTTCCATAGTTCCGTAGCCTAACACTACAAGCGGAATTTAATTCGTTGTCTTAGTTATAGAATTGGGCGCATATGTACCGAGGAATGTATTAATGATGAAATCGAAAATCTTAAAATTTCCCTGCTACAAAATAGTTATATTACCAATTTTGTAAAGAAGTATATTTCTAAAAGAACTGATTGAGCGGCACATAGTGAATAAAAAGGCTTTGTTTAAGAATGCACTTCAAAGATGATATATCCGGTGATATGTTAAGCCATAGGTTGATTATATCGACTGAAACAACTTTCGGTGCTGCAGGGCAACACGTCACTTTCTCAACCAGACCGTTACTGACATAGTGCACCAAAGATACACTACCAAAAATGGCCACATCAATATGTGAATACGCAGAGTTAGTTGTGTATTAGTTTGTTTGTTAAATATGCCATACAGTGAAACAGTATTATTATTTACTGGATGACACAGTTTCGAACAAATTTTATTGTTCATAATTACCTCATCAATTGTAATCACACGACTTCGAAACTTGAGTTTTATAGTTTTCTTTGTTCTCTCCATTCATCGTCGTAGGGGTAGTAGAATTTCCATATATCTGGATGGACAGGTGTTGAATCATTTCTTTTACATTTATTTGCACTTGATTCGACAAACAAAGTTTCTCTTATCAATGTCTCCCTCCACCCTGTGACATTAGATTTTGAAACTGTCATCTCAACCCATCATCCTATTGCATGGTTGTGTGCAAATGCATGTAGTGAGTGGTATAGCTGAACTATTCTCTAGATTTCTCATCTTATTCGGGTCAACCAATCTAGAATTGGCTAGGTTTTTATGTTGGGCTAGTCCTACTGCCCCTGTTCTACTACTTTGACCTATGTATTTGACCTGACAATCATCACAGACAGGGTATTGGAAAAAATTATTCTGTTTTAAAGGCTCCACAGGCTCCACGGAGAAAACAATACTATCTGTGATAGTGAAAGGTAGGTGCAGCAAATTTATACTTACATCATAAAACTACCACCAACAATCAGAAGAATACAAACCGTAGATTTCAAGTCGAAACTCCCTACTTCCTTGAAGTTTTTTAAAGATTCCGCTTCAAAATTATTAAAGTGGATTTGTAAAGTCAAGGTACAACAAAACCTGAATAATTTTTTTCCAAACTTGAAACCATAATATAGTCAATTATTTTTCAAAAATCTACTGTAGGCTACTAATGAGTAGCTTAAGTGAAATTATAAAAGTATTTCAACGAGAACCTCGTCTAGTTAACTAGTTGTCTAGTTTCTAGGCTGTCCTAATCCCGAGAAAAGAGGGAAGGGTGTGAAGCTGCCAGCCCTACCCCTGAAAAGCAATTCAATCGCTTCAGAAACTTCAAAGCCGGATGAAAGAATAAAAAAAGGAACTTATTCTTTGTTGGAATCAGGGAGATGGAATGATGCAGGCTGTTGAAACCATCGGGAACACAAACAGTCGGTGTTCTATTTCAATGAAATCAAATACCAAGCATAGGACGTGAAATGATGTCATAATGTAAGAAAGTGATAAGACATAGAAGTGAACTTTCCAAGTTATTGACTGTATAGTCACAAATTGCAGACGAAGCTCTTAGGAAGTGGAAACCAATCTCCATCTGGATAATGACAACAAGTTTTAATTCGAAAGGAAGGCAAGTTACAGTCACCGAACGTAAAGAACCTTTAAGGTCAAGGTAAAAGTCTTCAAAGAAAATGGAGATAGACAACAATTCAAGTTTAACATTCAGAATCTAAAGGACGAAACTAAAAAAAGATACATTAACTGTCGACATCGGAGCAAAGTCTGAGATATTACGTAGCTTCACCGAGAAAGTTTGTGTAAAGGAATATCGGAAATCCCTGAAGGCGATGTTCAGGAAAATACATACGGCCACATCAACAAAAAGAAGCGGTAAGAAAAGGAATTGCTTTCTATAAACACGCAGAAGCTAATAGAAGAAAGGAAAATGATGAAATAGAAGATGAACCAACGAAAAGATAAACAACATTAGGTAAAGCTGATTTAAATGTGCAACTTACTGAATAAAGGGATGTTGAGTCAGTCAGTTTAAAACTCATTTGATAGGTAGTCATTTGAAGATAGATAACTCCAAGGATTTTGATGAGAGAGAAAAACACGAATGATACCAATTTTGACATTAAAAGTGGAGAGTTTTTGATGTGGTTTTGTTCTCTGAGCTGGATGGTTAATTTGCGAAGCTCTCATCACCCTACTGGGTGACATCTTCAGCGCATAATTCAATTTGAAGTGAGCTTTTAGATTTCTCCACGAGTTTATTAATCATCTCTCCTGGTGACCTTGGACGTGGTTGGTTGTTTATGTGTGTTTTCACATCTTCTAGGTTACTTGTATTGGAACTGACTGTTTCTTTGATTTGAACTTTGACCCTTTGTGTGTGAAGTTTCTTTCTTATCGGTTGATAAATTTTGTCTATCTCGATGTGTCTATTGATTGATGATTCACTGGAATGCCAAGCTTCTAAAAATTCTCTAGCATTCTTGTTGTTTCCTCTGTCTAATATTTGAACGTTGTCCCAGTCGAATTGATGTCCGTGGTTGTCTGTATGTAGTGATATGAGGGAGTGGATATCATGTCTTTTGACGGTTAACTTATGTTCGTGGATACGAAGATGACGGAGGCGTCCACTTTGGCCAATGTAATGTTTTTCGCAGTTGTTACAATTTATTTTGTAGATGATGTTGGTTTTATCTTCTTTCGCTGTTGAGTCTTTTGGTTGACATAGAACTGAGTGAAGTGATTTTGTTGGTTTGTGTACGACGTCGTTTATCAACCAATAAGAAAGAAGCTTCACACACAAAGGGTCAAAGTTCAAATCAAAGAAACAGTCAGTTCCAATACAAGTAACCTAGAAGATGTGAAAACACACATAAACAACCAACCACGTCCAAGGTCACCAGGAGAGATGAATAATAAACCCGTGGAGAAATCTAAAAGCTCACTTCAGTGAATTGAATTATGCGCTGAAGATGTCACCCAGTAGGGTGATGAAAGCTTCGCAAATTAATCATCCAGCTCAGAGAACAAAACCACATCAAAATCATCCACCTGAGCTACAAATCTTCTCTATCATATCTAAAGTGGAAAGTAAATACCTACACATAGAGTCTCTTGTCGGAGAGACAAGTTATAGAGTTGTACGTTTACGTTTAGATATAACCGTTTCGTAGTCAGGCACATTATACTGACTTCAGGTCAGATCGAGAAGAAGCACCGGTTAGAGAACCACTGAAAACCACAGAGTACTGGACAACTGTTTCTTCCTGTTTTAGGGCCCTTCAGCAGTTCCCAGCGATAAATCGAAAACTTGACTACCTGGTTATAAAGCAAACGTATTCCTGAGAATTGTGGTGAGAAGTCATGAGCAGTAGGGTCTACCAAGTCAGGTGTCAATATAAACACTTGTCTATAAAATCGGTTTGAAGTAGAAGTTAGAATTCATTTGTCATTGGAGTCAATCTCAGCGGCTGAACTGTCAACACGTTGGCCTTGCAGCCTAAAGGTTGAGGGTTCTGTCCCCGGTTGAGTTATGGGTGCATACCACCGAAGGGTTTAAAACTAGGACGAAAAAGCTATCCGGGATCTCCTGATATAATTTGGTTCTTTAACTAATACAGTTAGTAATGAAACTTGGAATCAACCAAGTCTCCGCAAAACTAATACTTTAAAATACAAATACAAATCATTTGAGGAAGTTAGTCAACAATGTTTCTCAAAAAGGAATTCATCAGAAAGTAATTCTCATCATGAATTAATTGATTAACAATAATATTCAGAGTAACCACTTACTTTGTAATGACCATAACCCACTTATTGGGGTCTGAACACAGAAAACCGATCTCTGCATCCTACTCTATAGGTCACCAAAACTTCCTCCAGAGAGAGGCACAGTTACAAAACGCTCCAAAGACAGTAAAAGCATGATCATTCGTCGTCAGATCTATGTGTGCCTCTACTCAACAATAACAACACCAAAAACTAAAAATTACCTCAACAGTGCTGCTGCGCAACTAACTATACAGGCTGGTACAAATCCAGTACTGTAGAACAAGGTTAGTTAACTGAAACTTGGGTATTGTCGAAACATAAGAATTTAGCTAAGGTAAGAATGGTTGACCCAAGAAGAAAAGTAATTTAGAAAAAGGTCAGCAATTGCACTGAATGCATTAACACACAGCCGCACAACAGTGTGGGAGAGAGAGAAAAAAATTTAAGAAGTAATCTATGTAGGCGGAGAGAGAGGTTGATTACTGAATCTTGCCTTGGTCATCGAGTCTACACC